CTTTTAGTAAGAGGGGCCTTTAACCCTCTCTGTCTTTGGAGACTCTAACTTTCCTGGATTGGGCCTCAAATCCAGTCCCATCTTTTACCTGGGAAAATGAATCCCACATACCCAAAGTTATCCAATTGGTGTTGTACACAGAGGATTTTCCTTTGGGTCAGGGGTGTTTTCAGCATCATTTCTTCTGTGGTTCTCCAGAAAGATGTTACCAGAAAGGGGTCCAAATCCAGACCCCAAAAGAGGGTTCTTGAATCTCACACAAGAAAGAATTCAACACAAATCCACAGAGTAAAGTGAAAGTAAGTTTATTAAGAAACTAAAGGAATAAAGAATGGCTACTCCATAGGCAGAACAGCTGTCAATGAGTAGTAATAATTTGAAAAGGAATCTAAGTACTAGGTCTCAACAGTGGGCTTCAAATATTTAGTAAACCATGCTGTAATCAGATGTGCTGTCACCCAGGCCTTGTTTGTCCATTTCCACAGCATAAGCACAATAGATTTAACATAATTTTTAAGGGTCCTAGGATTTCAGAATGGTAAATGAGCATTGGTTCAACCTAAAGTCACCAGCTGCATGAGCTCCAGAGTCAGCCTATCCTAAGATGCTTTGAAGCCAGGCATTAACTTCTTTCTAGCTCTGAAAGTCCTAGATAGCATGGTTTTCTAATATAAGACTGTTTTTCTACATTAAAAATCTGTTGTTTAGTGTAGTCACTTTCATAAATGTTGTTAGCTAGATCTTCCGAATAACTTGTTGCAGTTTCTGCATCAGCACTTGTTTCACCTTGTATTTTTATGTTATGAATATAACTTCTTTCCTTAATCTTTGTGAACTCACTTCTACTAGCATTTAACTTTTCATCTGCAGCTTCTCCACCTCTCTTGGCCTTCAAAGAATTAAAGCAACTTAGGGCCTTTCTCTGGGTTATGCTTTGATTTAGGGAAATGTTGTTGGTTTGTTATTTTATTTAGACCACTCAAACTTTCTCTAGAGATGTAATACCCAGTTTTGGAGGTGGTGCCTTGTGGGAGGAGGTTGGGTCATTGGGATAGACCCCTCATGGTTGGCGCCATCTTTGTGATAGTGAATTATGAATTCTGGTCATTTAAAAGTGTGTGGCAGCCTTACCCCCTACTTGTTCCTGTGCTCATCACATAATGTGCTTGCTCCGCTTTGTCTTCTCTCATAAGTAAAAACTCCTTGATAACTCCTCAGAAGCCAAGCCGATATCAGCCCTATGCTTGTACAGCCTTCAGATCAATGAGCCAATTAAGTCTTTTTTGTTTATTACCCAGTCTCAAGTATTTCTTTATAGCAAGAATAGCCTAACACAGAAAATTGGTACTGAGAAGTTGGGCATTACTATAAAGATATTTGAAAATGAGGAGAAAGTTTGGAACTGAGTGACAGAGGTTGCAAGAGTTTTGAGGGTTCAGAAGAAGATAGGAAGATGAGGAAACGTTTAGAACTTCTTAGAGACTACTTAAATGGATGTAACCAAATGCTGATAGTGATATGAATAGTGAATTCTGGGCTGATAAGATCTCAGATGAAACTGAGAAACTTAGTGGGAACTGGAGCAAATGTAGCCCTTGTTTTGCCTTAGCAAAAAGCTTGTCTGTACTGTTTACATTCCCTAGGGATCTGTGGAGGTTTTAACTCAAGAATGATGACTTTAAGGTGTCTGGCAGAAAAAAATTTCTAAGCGGCAAAGCATTTCAGAAGTAGCCTGGCTGCTTCTAACAGCCTATGCTTAGATGCAGAAGCAAAGAAATGACATAAAAATTCTAATTTAAAGGTGAAGCAAAGCATAAAAGTTTGGAAAATTTGCAGCCTGGCCATGTAGCAGAGAAGGAAAAAGCATTATTAGGAGATGAAGTCAGAGGGGCTATGGAGAAATCACTTGCTAGAGATATTAGCATGGTGAAAAAGAGTCATCAAGTGCTAATAGCCAAGACAATGGGCAAAAGGCCTTCGAGGCATTTCAGAGATCTTTATGGCAGCTTCTCTCATCACAGGCCCAGAGGCCTAGGAGGACAGAATGACTTGGGAGACCAGGCCTGGCACTTGGCTGCCTTATACAGCCTTGGGATACTACTTCTGGCATTCAGGCCACTCAGGCCCAGCCACAGCTCATAGGGCCCTAGGCATAGCTCAGGTTGCAGTTCCAGAGGGTGCAAGCTATAAGTCTGGAAGCTTCCACATTGTATTAAGTCTGTAGGCACACAGAGTGAAAGAGTGAGGGAGGCTTGGCAAACTATGCCTTGATTTTAAAGGATATATGAAAAAGCCTGCCATATATCTTTTGAAATCTATATGGCAGGGTGCCCAGGCAGAAGCCAGCTACAAGGGTGGAACCCTCACAGAGAAACTCTGCCAGGGCAATGTGGAGGGGAAATGTGGGGTTGGAGGCCCCACACTGACTCATCACTGGGGCACTGCTTACTGGAAATATGGGAAAGGTGCTGCTTTCCTCCAGATACTGGAATGATAGATCCACTGGCAGCTTGTACTGTGCACCTGGAAAAGCTACAGGTACCAAACTCCAACATGTGAGAGTAGCAGCAGGGGCTGTATCCTGCAGAGATACAGGGCTGAGTTGCCCAAGGTCTAGAGAGCCTACTTTTTACAGAAGTTAGCCCTGGATTTATGACATGGGGTAAGAAGGAATTATTTTGGAGCTTTAAGATTAAATGACTGTCTTGCTGGGTCAGATTTGTGTGGGGCCTGAAGCCCTTTTTTTCTGGCCAGTTTCTTCCTTTTGGAACAGGAATGTTTTCTCAATTCCTGAATTTACAGTGTATCTTTGAAGTAACTACCTGTTTTTGATTTTACACGCTCATAGGTGGAAGGAGTCCTTGTCCAGATGAGACTTTGGACTTGGGGCTTGGGACTTTTGAGTGATGCTAAAATGAGTTATGAGTTTGGGAACTTATTGGAAGGCATGATTGTATTTTGCAATGTGAGAAGGACATGAGATTTGGGGAGCAGAGTGTAGAATGATATAATTTAGTTGTACCCTCTAAATCTCATTTTGGAGGTGGGGCCTGGTGAGAAGTGTTTGGGTCATGAAGGAGGATCCATTCTGGCTTGGTGCTGTCCTCACAATAGAGAATTAATTCTCATGAGATCTGGTTGTTTAAAAGTGTGTGGCAATGTCCCTGTGCTACCTTGTGCTGCTCCCACCATGTGACATGCCTGTTCCTGCCTTCTGCCATGAGTAAAACTCCCTGGAACCTCCCCAAAGTGAAGCAGATGTCAGTGTCATGCTGTACAGCTTGCAGAACTGTGACCCAATTAGACGTCTTTTATTTATAAATTACCCAGCCACAGGTATATTTTTATAGCAATGCAAGAATGGCCTAACAACTTTCTTTTGATTTGTGCATTTACTGCAGTTGCACTTTAAATTTTCTTCAAGAACTTTATTTTCTTTTGCATTTACACTTGGGTAACTGGTGCAAGAGGTCTAGCTAATGGCTTGTTTTTCCTTTCAATGTGCTTTCCTCACTAAGCTTAATCATTTATAGCTTTTGATTTAAAGTGAGAGACCCATGACTCTTCCTTTCACTTGAACACTAAAAGATCATTGTTGGGTTATTAATTAGACTAATTTCAGCACTGTTATGTTTTATGGAATAGAGATGTCTGAGGAGAGGGAGAGAGATGGGAGGATGTCTGGTTAGTGGAGCCACAGGAACACACATATTTATAGATTAAGTTTGTCATTTTATATGTACGTGGTTTGTGTTGCCCTTAAAGAATCACAACAGTAATGTCAAAGGTTGCTGATCACAGTTCATTGTAACAGATATAGTAATAATGGAAAAGTTTGAACTATTGAGAGAATTACCAAAATGTGACACTGAGACATGAAGGGAGCACATGCTCATAGAAAAACGGCACAAATAGCTGATAGACTTGCTAATGCAAGGTTGCCACAAATCTTCAGTTTGTAAAAAACAAACAAAAGACAAACAGTATCTGTAAAGCATAATAAAATGAGGTAAGCCTGTATTTGATTAATGGCCTTAGGCTTATTAAACATTTTATTTATGTTTTGGTTTTTAATTTTTTAAAATTATGTTTTCTATGTGAACATATACTGCTTTAAAGTAAGTCAAAAATATATTTAAAAATTTAAATATTTAAACAATAAAATTAAATAATTTAATTTAAATAGTTTAAATGGTTTAAATGTTACAGCAAAATATTTAAATGCTAAGATATTATTTTCAGATTTTAAATGAAGAAAATCAGTTGATGTGTACAGCACAATTTTCATTAGAAACCAAATATTTAAATGAATGATACACTCAGCAATGCGTAGCATGAAAGACAACATTTGTAGGCTTAACCTATCAGGTACTGAGACTTACTTTACTCAGAAAGCATAGATTATTACTCATGAAAATAACACTGTGATTTCTGTATCACATTCCCACAGGAAATTATTTTAGGAAACAAGCATAATTTATCTTAGAAGTTAATTGAACATATCTCATGAAGGTAGTTTTTTTCACTTTTTCAATAAACATAAATAATACCTTTGATGTAAAAAATCACTGTTGTGTAAAAATTAATAATTTATTCTGCTTTCTCAGTGACTTATAATATTCTAGCTCAGAAGTACTAGAAAGTTTTTCAAAATGCAGTTCATCACTCTTGCTGAGTGCTGTTAACCCTCTGCAATAAATGTGTTACTTTTTTGATCATTTTTCTATAGCTGCCATAAATTCTTCTGAGGTGATAAAATGCAGGATAATTCTGAGAGTGGGCAAAAGCTGGTCAGATCAGTTTTGGGGATTTGTTGATTCTATATCTTTCATCAAAATGATAGAAATATTATTATTAAAAATGAACTAACTTTATTAGTTTTCAATCTCAAATTATTTTGCTTCTTTGGATAATTTATATATAATGTTTATTTTTATGTATATTACATATAAATATTTATATTTATATAAGTGATATATAAATATATGTATAGAGTAAATTATGTATAATTTGAGGATAATATTTGGTAAGAAGGATATAGATAAAATAATTCCATGTATAGATGTACAGATTATTAATTTTCTGAGTTAGAATAAAATAATTCACTTTTTGAGTACTAAAGAATTGAAGACTAGGAAAAGCTTCATTAGAAAAGGAGAGAATGGAGATGACACGGGAGCTGCTGCTCACAGGGAACTTGTTCTCGTTGCTGGCCCAGGAGAATGACTGGTGGGTTTGCAAGCAAATCAAGAAGCCCATCGGCTCCACCATCCTCACCCTAGGCTGGCACCCCAACAATGTGCTGCTGGCTGCCGGCTCCTGCGACTTCAAGTGCCGAATCTTTTCAGCCTACATCAAGGAGGTGGAGGAGCAGCCGGCACCCACCCCATGGGGCTCCAAGATGCCCTTTGGGGAGCTGATGTTTGAGTCCAGCAGTAGCTGCGACTGGGGACATGACGTCTGCTTCTCAGCCAACCGGAGCCGCGTGGCCTGGGTGAGCCACGACTGCACCGTGTGCCTGGCTGATGCCGAGAAGAAGGTGGCCGTCGCAACCCTGGCCTCTGAAACACTGCCGCTGCTGGCGCTGACCTTCATCACAGAAAACAGCCTGGTGGCAGCGAGCCACGACTGCTTCCCGGTGCTGTTCACCTACGACGCCGCTGCCGGGACGCTGAGCTTCGGCAGGCGGCCAAGCTGAGCTCACAGTGCGGCTTGACTTCTAGCGAGCACTTCCAGAACCTTGACAAGAAGGCGAGCTCCGAGGGCAGCACGGCCGCGGGCTCCAGCCTGGACTCGCTGCACAAGAATAGCGTCGCTGGGCGCGGTGGCTCACGCCTGTAATCCCAGCACTTTGGGAGGCCGAAACGGGTGGATCATGAGGTCAAGAGATCGAGACCATCCTGGTCACCATGGTGAAACCCCCTCTCTACTAAAAATACAAAAAATTAGCTGGGCATGGTGGCGCATGCCTGTAATCCCAGCTACTCAGGAGGCTGAGGCAGGAGAATTGCCTGAACCCAGGAGGCGGAGGTTGTGGTGAGCCGAGATCGCGCCATTGCACTCCAGCCTGGGTAACAAGAGCGAAACTCCATCTCAAAAAAGAAAATAAAAAAGAATAGCGTCAGCCAGATCTCGGTGCTCAGCGGGGCAAGGCCAAGTGCTCACAGTTCTGCACCACTGGCATGGACGGTGGCATGAGTATCTGGGATGTGAAGAGCTTGGAGTCAGCCTTAAAGGACCTCAAGATCAAATGACCTGTGTGGAATGTCTTCATCTCAGCTGCTGGGGAAGCGCGGCGAGGGGTCAGGGAGATTAATGATTGCTTTGCTGAATGTTTCTGGGGTACTGGTATGAGTTCCCACAGGGGCTGCTCCCTCAAAAAGGGAGGGGACGGATGGGGAGCTTTTCTTAGATATTCAAGGAATATGTGCCTTTTTCTTAAAGAAATGCTTTCATTTATTGAAAAGAAAAATGCTCCCAAAGCACTATGCTGGTAATGAACTGCTTCAAAATGTGGAGGTAGTAAAATGCAACTGTGTCAAAAAACAACAACAAAAAAACAACAAAAACAAACAAACAAAAAGGAAAGAATGAATATGCAAGGTGGAGTGGGAAGGAGAAATCTGATGAAGTGGTATTTTAGAACATAAATTAGGGTAATAGAATTAAAGTCTAAAATAGAGTGGTAAGCCTCAAAGCAGAAAGTGGACTTTGTTTATTTCTTGAGATGAGAAGTTAAGTGTCAAGGATAATTGAAAATACAGTAGTCTCCTTTATTTTTGTGGTTCCACTTTTCATGGTCTCAGTTACCAGCATCAAGTACAGTAAAATATTTTGAGAGAGAGAGACCATAGTCACACAACTTTTATAACAATATATTGTTGTAATTGCTCTATTTTATGATTAGGTACTATTGTCAATGTTACTCTGCCTAATTTAGAAACTAAACTTTATTATGGATATGTATACATAGGAAAAAATATATGTAGGGTTTGATACTATCCTTGATTTCAGGCATATACTGGAGTTCTTGGAATGTATCCCTGTGGATAAGAGGAGACTACTATAAATAGATTTTATATCTCTATATAGATAATATATGTAATAGAGCTTATCCCAAACATCTCATGTTGCGGCTTTGCATAATGGAGTGATTTATAAATCGATGAAAGCTCACATAACTTAAAACAATAATTTTATCAGCTTGGCCTAAAAGGTACAAACAGTGTATAAAATGAAAAGAGGCCTTTGGACTCTCAGATTTCTACAGGAGGGAAATGACCAATACAGCTCTTTAGCTGTAAGCATGGGCTACTTTTTATGGCAAAGGAAGGATGACTCTGAGGACAGAACCAAGAGTCCACAGGGTAAAGTCATGAAACCTACTAAACAACTCCAAGAGAGTGGGACTGAACCCTTATCTATGAACTTGCAACATTTGCCCATCTAAATCTGAATTGCTACAAACCTTTGAATGCTGTCTTTCCTGTTTTTCTTTTTTTGAACAGTAGTGTTTAAAGCATTTATACTATTCCTGTCTACCATTAGTTTGTTGCATATATGTGGGCAGATAATTTGCCTCTTTAGTTCAAGGTCTTTAGATGGAAATAAACACATGCAAAGAGCTATAATAGAAGAATCACCAAAACACAGTGTCATCCTCAACTGAATCAGAATTAGATATCAGAGTCCTAGACTTTTAATTAACACTTTAATGAGTTGAAGTTGGGAGTCTTCATGGGGTTGCTTGTATTTTATATGTGGGAGAAATGTGAAATATTGCCAGAGAGTGGTGGCATATTGTGTTTTCTAAAGATTCTGTGTGTTCTTCACACAATGCAATGTTGACACTGCTTTCATCAAGTAGCGATGTCTGTTTCCAGTCCCGTGGGTGGACCTATAGTACTACTCTGACTAATAGTGTATGGAAAAAGAGTTGCTATGTGACTTCTTAGACTAGACCATAACAAGTTCTTGTACTTATGAATAATTCTCTCAGAATGTCTATTCTTAAACCTAGCCAACATGCTGTACAGAAGCCCAGCAGCCATGGAGAGGTCCATGCAGAGATGAACTGAGTCCCCAACTCCTCAATCCTAGCTGAGCTCCCAGACAACAGCCAGTATGGGCTTGCCAGCCATATTGAGTATTTTGAAGTGGATCCTCCACCTTCCAGTTAAGGTGCCCCAACTGATGCCATACGGAGCTGAGATGAGCCTTTCCCACTTAGTCATGCTCAAGTGCAAATTTTTGAACAAAGTAAATTATTATAGTTATTTCAAGACCTTAGGTTTCTTGAGGTGGTTGTTTATGCAGCAGTAGATAACCAGAACCAATTCTCAAAAGAGGAAGGAGACAAGTGAAGTCACTTGAAGTTTGTTCAAAGTCAAAATACGGAATGACTGGTGGGCAAAACAAGGTTGAAATATATAGTCATGCCTACAGTTGTAATAGACAGGTTAATATCAAGCCCAGGTTTAGAAGGGCCATTAGCAGTAATACTGAACTATCCAAGAATAATGTTTGATAGAGTGGTATAATAAAATAATCCATGTCCTGAAATTATCCAAGAAAATGGGACAGTAGATTAGAGCGGGATAGATAACAGCCACAAAGACAAAAAGAGCTTAATTTAAATACATTACTGATTAAATATAAATATTTTACATTGGAATATAAATTTTGTTTTCAAAACATTTCACATACAGTTTTAGATTCTTAGAACTAGCTTTTCAGTTAACTGTTACTATCCTTATTGATAAGGGAGAAAACTGAAGCTAAGGCAATTAAAAAAAGAAAAACAGAAAATAGTGTAAACAGGAATAAAACTCAGACAGTTCATTTGTTTGTTCATTTATTCATTGTTTTGCTTTTTGAGCACAAACTATGTGGCAGACAATGTGCTTTGAATACGTGAATAAATGAGTAAGACTCAATCCTTCTCCTCAAATAGCTTCTGTCTAGCAAGGGAGAAAAATAGTCATAGATAATTGTAATGAAGTTTAACTAGTAGTTTTCCCTATATCACAATTGCTTAAAAAATTCTACATAAATTTCATTGCTAATGGTGGTGCAGATGTTAATATAAACGTCTTCAATATAGAGAAAAGTTTACAAAGCATTCAACATGCATAGTTTATAGTATATTGGCAAGGCAGGAAGGTACACAGTGGCACTCTTTATGAAATCCAAATACAATTATAACAAATCATATTAATTTCCAATTATTTTATTTGTGTGTAATATAAAACTTTGAGATTTCACAGGTACCATTAAAAATAATAGCTATATGTTTTTAAAACTATATTTTGCCTATTGTGGTAACATAGTGTTATGATAACTTCAAAGACAAAATAACTGTTTTACATATGTATTATATATATAAGCATTATATATGTGTATAATATATATATAATTACATGTATGTGTATATATGTGAAGCTTGTTCAAATTACAAATATGGTATGACTGAGTGGTATTATATATATTTGTATATATAGATCTAAAATTATACATATGTGCATATATATTTCAAAGTAGATATATATAATTATTTTTATGTTTGTGTGTATGTGTGTGTATATATAATTCTGAGTAGATCTAATGCATATAAAAGGAGCTTTTGTACTGATCTTCAAATCTGAATGAAGCTAGTCAAGTCCCAACAAAAACGTGTGAAAATTAGGAAAAGAAAATCCTAAGAAAGTATGGAAAATTTCAAATTTCAAATTTGCCTTTCAATGGAAGAGTTGCCTCTAGAGTTAGGAGGCTTCTTTTTTTTTAAATTTTTTATTGCATTTTAGATTTTGGGGTACATGTGCAGAACATGTAAGACAGTTGCATAGGTACACACATGGCAGTGTGTTTTGCTTCCTTTCTCCCCTTCACCCACATTTGGCATTTCTCCCCAGGCTATCCCTCCCCAGCTCCCCCCTCCACTGGCCCTCCCCTTTTCCCCCCAATAGACCCCAGTGTTTAGTACTCCCCTCCCTGTGTCCATGTGTTCTCATTTTTCATCACCCGCCTATGAGTGAGAATATGCGGTATTTCATTTTCTGTTCTTGTGTCAGTTTGCTGAGAATGATGTTCTCCAGATTCATCCATGTCCCTACAAATGACACAAACTCATCATTTCTGATTGCTGCATAATATTCCATGGTGTATATGTGCCAAATTTTCGCAATCCAGTCTATCATCAATGGGCATTTGGGTTGATTCCAGGTCTTTGCTATTGTAAACAGTGCTGCAATGAACATTCGTGTGCATGTGTCCTTATAGTAGAACGATTTATAGTCCTTTGGATATATACCCAGTAATGGGATTGCTGGATCAAATGGAATTTCTATTTCTAAGGCCTTGAGGAATCGCCACACTGTCTTCCACAATGGTTGAACTAATTTACACTCCCACCAACAGTGTAAAAGTGTTCCTTTCTCCGCGTCCTCTCCAGCATCTGTTGTCTCCAGATTTTTTAATGATCGCCATTCTAACTGGCATGAGATGGTATCTCAATGTGGTTTTGATTTGCATCTCTCTGATGATCAGTGATGATGAGCATTTTTTCATATGATTGTTGGCCTCATATATGTCTTCTTTCATAAAGTGTCTGTTCATATCCTTTGTCCAATTTTGAATGGGCATGTTTGTTTTTTTCCTGTAAATCTGTTTGAGTTCTTTGTAAATTCTGGATATCAGCCCTTTGTCAGATGGGTAAAGTGCAAAAATTTTTTCCCATTCTGTTGGTTGCTGATGCACTCTAGTGACTGTTTCTTTTGCCATGCTGTGGAGTTTGATTAGGTCCCATTTGTCTATTTTGGCTTTTGTTGCCAATGCTTTTGGTGTTTTGTTCATGAAGTCCTTGCCTACTCCTATGTCCTGGATGGTTTTGCCTAGATTTCCTTCTAGGGTTTTTATGGTGTCAGGTCTTATGTTTAAGTCTTTAATCCATCTGGAGCTAATTTTAGTGTAAGGTGTCAGGAAGGGGTCCAGTTTCTGCTTTCTGCACATGGCTAGCCAGTTTTCCCAACACCATTTGTTAAACAGGGAATCCTTTCCCCATTGCTTGTTTTTGTCAGGTTTATCAAAGATTGTATGGTTGTAGATATGTTGTGTTTCCTCCGATGCCTCAGTTTTGTTCCATTGGTCTATATCTCTGTTTTGGTACCAGTACCATGCTGTTTTGATTACTGTAGCCTTGTAGTATAGTTTGAAATCCGGTAGTGTGATGCCCCCCGCTGTGTTCTTTTTGCTTAGAATTGACTTGGCTATGCGAGCTCTCTTTTGGTTCCATATGAAGTTCATGGTGGTTTTTTCCAGTTTTGTGAAGAAAGTCAGTGGTAGCTTGATGGAGATAGCTTTGATTCTGTCAATTACTTTGGGCAGTATAGCCATTTTCATGATATTAATTCTTCCTAACCATGAACATGGAATGTTTCTCCATCTGTTTGTGTCCTCTCTTATTTCGTTGAGCAGTGGTTTGTAGTTTTCCTTGAAGAGGTTCCTTACGTTCCTTGTGAGTTGTATTCCTAGGTATTTTATTCTTTTTGTAGCAATTGTGAATGGCAGTTCGTTCTTGATTTGGCTTTCTTTAAGTCTGTTATTGGTGTAGAGGAAGGCTTGTGATTTTTTCATATTGATTTTATATCCTGAGACTTTGCTGAAGTTGCTTATCAGTTTCAGGAGTTTTTGGGCTGAGGCAATGGGGTCTTCTAGGTATACTATCATGTCGTCTGCAAATAGAGACAATTTGGCTTCCACCTTTCCTACTTGAATGCCCTTTATTTCTTTTTCTTGCCTGATTGCTCTGGCTAGAACATCAAGTACTATATTGAATAGGAGTGGTGAAAGAGGGCATCCTTGTCTAGTGCCGGATTTCAAAGGGAATGCTTCCAGTTTTTGCCCATTCAGTATGATATTGGCTGTTGGTTTGTCATAAATAGCTTTTATTACTTTGAGATACGTTCCATCGGTTACCGAGTTTATTGAGGCTTTTTAGCATAAAGGGCTGTTGAATTTTGTCAAATGCCGTCTCTGCGTCAATTGAGATAATCATGTGGTTTTTGTTTTTGTTTCTGTTTATGTGGTGAATTACGTTTATAGACTTGCATATGTTGAACCAGCCTTGCATCCCCAGGATGAATCCTACTTGATTATGATGGATAAGTTTTTTGATTTGCTGTTGCAATCGGCTTGCCAATATTTTATTGAAGATTTTTGCATCTATGTTCGTCATGGATATTGGCCTGAAGTTTTCTTTTCTTGTTGGGTCTCTGCCAGGTTTTGGTATTAGGATGATATTGGTCTCATAAAATGATTTGGAAAGGATTCCCTGTTTTTGGATTATTTGGAATAGTTTCAGAAGGAATGGTACCAGCTCCTTTTTGTGTGTCTGGTAGAATTCGGCTGTGAACCCATCTGGACCTGGGCTTTTTTCTGTGGTAGGCTCTTAATTGCTACCTCGACTTCTGACCTTGTTATTGGTCTATTCATAGTTTCAGCTTCCTCCTGGTTTAGGCTTGGGAAGACACAGGAGTCCAGGAATTTATCCATTTCTTCCAGGTTTACTAGTTTATGTGCATAGAGTTGTTTGTAATATTCTCTGATAATGGTTAGAATTTCTGTGGAATCTGTGATGATTTCACCTTTATTATTTCTTATTGCATCTATTTGGTTGTTCTCTCTTTTTTTTTATCAGTCTGGCTAGTGGTCTGTCTATGTTGTTGATCTTTCCAAAAACCCAGCTCTTCGATTTATTGATTTTTTGAAGGGTTTTTCGTGTTTCTATCTTCTTTAGTTCAGCTCTGATCTTAGTTATTTCTTGTCTTCTGCTAGGTTTTGAGTTTTTTTTTATCTTGTCCTCTAGCTCTTTCAATTTTGATGATAGGGTGTCAATTTTGGATCTCTCCATTCTCCTCATATGGGCACTATTGCCATATATTTTCCTCTAGAGACTGCTTTAAATGTGTCCCAGAGATTCTGGCATGTTGTGTCTTCGTTCTCATTGGTTTTGAAGAACTTCTTTATTTCTGTCTTCATTTCATTGTTTATCCAGTCAACATTCAAGAGCCAGTTGTTCAGTTTCCATGAAGCTGTGCGGTTCTGAGTTGGTTTCTGAATTCTGAATTCTAACTTGATTGCACTATGGTCTGAGAGACTGTTTGTTATGATTTCAGTTGTTTTGCATTTGCTGAGGAGTGCTTTACTTCCAATTATGTGGTCAATTTTAGAGTAGGTGTGATGTGGTGCTTAGAAGAATGTATATTCTGTGGATTTGGGGTGGAGAGTTCTATAAATGTCTATCAGGTTTGCTTGTTTCAGGTCTGAGTTCAAGCCCTGGATATCCTTGTTGATTTTCTGTCTGGTTGATCTGTCTATTACTGACAGTGGAGTGTTGAAGTCTCCCACTATTATTGTGTGGGAGTCTAAGTCTCTTTGTAAGTCATTAAGAACATGCCGTATATATCTGGGTGCTCCTGTATTGGGTCCATATATGTTTAGGATCGTTAGCTCTTCTTGTTATATTGATCCTTTTACCATTATGTAATGGCCTTCTTTGTCTTTTTTGATCTTTGTTGCTTTAAAGTCTATTTTATCAGAGATGAGAATTGCAACTCATGCTTTTTTTTTGCTCTCCATTTGCTTGGTAAATCTTCCTCCATCCCTTTATTTTGAGCCTTTGTGTATCCTTGCCTGTGAGATGGGTTTCCTGGATACAGCACACTGATGGGTTTTGGTTTTTTATCCAGTTTGCCAGTCTGTGTCTTTTGACTGGTGCATTTAGTCCATTTATCTTTAGGGTTAATATTGTTATGTGTGAATTTGATACTGCCATTTTGATGCTAGCTGGCTGTTTTGCCCATTAGTTGTTGTAGATTCTTCATTATGTTGATGCTCTTTAGCATTTAGTGTGATTTTGGAATGGCTGGTACTGGTTGTTCCTTTCTATGTGTAGTGCCTCTTTCAGGAGCTCTTGTAAAGCAGGCCTGGTGGTGACAAAATCTCTGAGTACTTGCTTGTTCGCAACGGATTTTATTTTTCCTTCACTTCTGAAGCTCAGTTTGGCTGGATATGAAATTCTGGTTTGAAAGTTCTTTTCTTTAAGGATGTTGAATATTGGCCCCCACTCTCTTCTGGCTTGTAGTGTTTCTGCCGAGAGATCTTCTGTGCGTCTGATGAGCTTCCCTTTGTGGGTGACCCG